TAAAACTGACTTATTTTATTTGGGTTGGTAAACAATCGTCAACATGCCACTGGACATTATTATGTCTCTGTCATTTTTATGACACAGAAAGACTTTCATCAATCATTAACATTGCTGTATTGAATACTCTCTCGTCATGGAAAAATGTCAGGAGATTTTTAGGCATTCCAGCTGTTCCATCATTCTTTGTTTATCGGTTCAGAGCTTTGGGCTTCAGGCATGGAAGTTAAAAACCATCAGAGACATAAAGCATACATTTATAGAAGATAAATGTAATGTCATGTGAGATGGTTTTATTGCTGAATAGCTGCTGTATAGCTGGGATATATATATATATATATATATATATATATATATATATATATATATATATATATATATATATATATAACATAGAAAATAGTACCAAATGTCTGTTGTTGTCTAAAATAAACAGAAGCCTTAAACCTGTATTCACCCCTCATCATCCCATGGCCACCACCCCCCCCCCCCCCCCCCCCACACACACACACACATACACACACACACACTGTCAGAATAATTCAAGTCAAATGTGATTAGTCTCTCTCTCTCTCTCTCTCTCTCTCTCTCTCTCTCTCTCTCTCTCTCTCTCTCTCTTTGTCCACCAAGAAGCATTTTTATCATCGGGGTACAGTTAGCTTTGACTGCGTCTGCTGTTTCTTTAAAGCCTAACTAAGTTAACTCCGTAAGAAAGAAGCGAAATTGAAGAGAAGTGTTGAGTGTTGAGGCAGGTTTTGGGGGGGTGGAGAGTCCCACGTGCCTGGATCTGAGACCCACGGCTGAACGCGGGGGATCGGTGAGCCTTTTGTTGCTTCTCCTCTTTTGTCATGGCTAGACTCTTTAGCGTTCGTCATCAGTATGGAGGAGAAGAGGATGCATGTGTGTGGATGCTGGAGGACAGCTTGGTTTGGGGGTAGTGTGGGGTTTTGTTTTTGATGGTGTGGTTTGGAGAGAGACTGTCTGACTCGTATTTACATTCATGCATTTGGCAGACACTTTTATGATACTTGCATTGCATTCAAGGTGTATGTATAATCAGTTCATGATTAGTTCAGTTTATCAGATTTACTTTAACACACACATGCTCATATGCAATTGGTTGGAGTCTCTGTCTTTTCGCGTTTTTGTCTGTATTTTAGTGCATTCATACATGCACTGACCTTTGTTCTTTTGGTGTGTAGCTTGTATTTGACTTCAATACAGTATCATATCATTTGAAATGAGATAAAGACAGCGTTTAAGGTCAAAGACTATCGGTGAGTTATAAATATAAACTAAATATAGAAAGTGGTTAAAATGTATGATCTAAAATAACATGCATGCAGTGGCACGTTTTATGCATTAGGGATGCAATGTTTTGAGTGTGGCTATGACCGAAGTCAGTCAATAGTTAGGAAGCCTAACCACTTTCACAGTTCTTTTGTCTAATGTGCCAGAGAGAGTCATGTGCAATGATTAAAATGCCTCCCGCTGACGCCCCGTCAATTTAAATGGATTAACTGAACATGTCACCCACATTGAGACCATTTTGCCCAATTGCTTTTGAGCAACTTGTACTATAATTTCTTTAACCTTGCAATAACCCTGATATAATGAGAATATGAAGCTCATACTCGAGGAGGAAGAACATTTTAGTTTTACTCAGAGGCCCAAACTATCAAATATGTGGTGCAGTTGCTGATATTTATGGTCAAAAATCTTGTATTGTAAATCAGTCAGATCTTAATTACAGTAAGCAGGCTACTTTCATAAAATGCATATCTGCAGTCACTCTATATCTCCCAATAATATTAAGTTTATATTTAAATTAGGGCTGTCAAATGATTAATCGTGATTAATCACATCCAAAATAAAAGTGTGTGTTTACATAATATATGTGGGTGCACTGTGTATAATTATTTGATGTATATAAATACACACACATGCTTATATATATTTAAGAAATATTTTCATGTATATACTGTATATAGATTTATATATAATTTATATTATATTTAAATATAAATGTTTTATGTATAAATAATATTTTTTTCTTAAATATACATGCATGTGTGTGTATTTATATATATACAAAATAATTATACATAGTGAGTGCACCCACATATATTATGTAAAAAAAACTTTTATTTTGGATGTGATTAATCACGATAAATCATTTGACAGCCCTAATTTAAATGCTTAGTTTTATGATCAATTCTGTACTTTATAATGTGGAGGGCAAAACAAATAATACAATGCAATACAATGACGATTGAGAGATGAATAAATGTATAAATAAATAAACATTCCTCAAAGGCCTGTTGTATCATATTTAATATATTTTAACATGATTTTTCTCAAATAAAAGTGTGGATAATCAAGTAAACCTAAGTTGTTTCAGTCCAGTAAATGCTCATCTTGAAATATTACAAATGTATCAAATAAATTATACTAAAAGGCCTTTCGCTTGCTAAAAAGTATGAACCATCAATCAGACAACAGAAGGCATGTAGTAGATGGTGTGCAACAGCAGTTTTGAGCCTGTTGATCATATAGAGACCTTAAAAAATGGCATATTAAATATGATACAGTAGACTTTACAGGTTTAAGATTTCATTTCAATGTTGAAATCTTATAGGGTTAAGATTGTCACAAATGGGTTTTAATGATTGCACAAAGATGAGGATTCAACTGAAAACAGTCTTTAATTTTAAATCCAACTCGGAAATACTCAGGAGATTACAAAATTATTACACAACCACATTAACAGTGACGAGACGGGACCATGAACTGACAGAACTCGGGGTTTAAAGTTTAAACACACCGAGGGAAACGAGGAAACTAAATGAACAACATGAACTTACTTAGTGACTCATAGGCACACACTAGGAAACTAGGTCAAGATACAAATGGCAGAGAACAGAACAGAACCAAAACACAATGAACTAACAGAACTAAATATAACCCTTACAAAGATTTCATTTGTTGTAAAGTTTGGTGCACTTGTGTGCCAGCCTTCATTGTTGTTGTCCCTCTGAACTGTGTTCACATTTATTGTTTTCAACTGACCCAAATATTATTCATCCCCCTCTCCCACTCCCAGTGTCCTATAAATAAGTGGAGCTCGTCTTGTCAAGTCTGAATAATGGCATGATATCATCATGGCTCGCCCATAATTTTATTATCATTGCAAACACTCAGAAGTCACATGAGTCATTTGTCAATGTCGTTTGTGTTAGTACGCCTTCAGCGCAGCAATCCGTAGTATGACATTCATAAATTTCATTCCAAGGTTATAAAGACATTCAGGCATCGGATGTTATTGTGCTTGCAGGTCTTGTTTGTGTGATGTTGTGACAATGGATTTATCTCAACAATTATACAATTATCTTAAGAATTTATATATATAAAAATCCAGTTATTTCCTTCAGTGTTTTCACTCTGAATGATGTTCATCACCGTGATGAGATCACTGATAGAGAATTCAATTATCATGATACAGTCAGGGCTCAAACTGAAGCTTTGTGTTTGTTTTGAGCATAATGTGGCCTGGAATAGATCAGATGGATCACAGATTTGAAGTGGCAGTGTAATTTAATCATACTGAATCATTTGTGTAAGTCTGGGTGGGTGAGGCCTTTCAAAGTTGGGTCTTTTTAGTGACATTTTTTAAGTGAGAATATAAATTCAGCCCTGGTTTCACAGACAGGACTTAGGGTATTTAAGTAGCTTTTATAAATGTGCCTTAGAAAAAAACATTACTGGTGCGCTTCTTGAGACAAAACATATTTTAAGATATATCAGTGCAAGTTGCTTTCAGTTAAAACAGCTCAAACATGCATTTTAGTCTGGGACTAGACTTAAGCAGTGTCTGTCAAACTGGGGGTCTGTGTTTTAAAGATTAGATGCCATATCAGGATTGTGCAACCAGTTACATTCTTAGCCTACAAGATCACATTGATCTCTATGTTGCTCATTTGTCCCATTGTTGAATGTTTTGCACTGGCAAAAATGACATTTTAATTAAATGTATTCCAACAGATTCAATTAAGGTATTGTCTGGGTTTAGATGAGCGCAAAACAACATAACTTAAGTCATGACAATTACAAACATTCCCTATGTTGTATAGGAAACTGCAACAACTGGCTTTGTCAGATGGCATCTCTGTTTTGATTCAGTTGAAATGATGTTCTTTATCATGAACCGCCACTCACAGCAATATTGGATTTGTGAAGTGAACTATATTGGTTTAAAATAACCTTGCAGATCCATCTCAGAGTCTGCATGTCCAGAACAACAGATCTAGTTTCCACACGATTGCTAAAATAGTCCTCCAGGGCTCTGTTTTGGGCCCTATTTGTTTTCTATTTGTCAATGACTGAAAGTTTAATTTTGAAAAGGCTATACTCGGGTTGACACCAGGTCATTATAGACCTCACTGCAAGATTGTAAATCAGATTGTAATACTCAGAGGACAAACTTCATGACTAACACAAAACAAGAGACTACAAGACTTCACTTTCTATTGTTTCCATGCTTTTAAGGCTACTTAAACTACTAAATGCATGGTCCTACTTGACATTTTGAATGCTTTAAATGAATTTTACACCGCATTATTGTCCCTGTAAGAGGTCTTATTAGGTAGGTATTGTAGGTAAAACTGCTTTGCTGTTCTTTCCCAGCTAGCAAGGAACGTTCTCAGAACTTATGCTAACGTTCTGGCAAGGTTCTCTCAAAGTTATCAACAAACATTTATCCTGCAACATTAATATAATGTTCGTTCAAAGTTATCTGGTCTGGTCTTTCTTTAATAATGTTCCCCCAAAATGTTAGCACAATAACTTTTTTAAAACCTTAGAACATTCAGAAATAATGTTAGCAAAACGTTCTTAGAACATTTTTTTGTTAGCTGGGTTGACCGGTTTTTTCCTTTTATTGTTAATGAAACCATATATGTTCATTAATATGTTCTCATAACTTTTGTCTTTTTTTTCTGCAGTACATGGTGAATTTCATTCGTTAGCTTCAATCCTGCTCTGCCAAATCTCACAGCATGTCGGGTGCCTACGATGAGTCCGCCATGTCCGACGAGACCACAGAGAGTTTCTGGGAGGTCAGGCTCAAAAACTTAATAATTCTGGAATATTATTAGTCGTACATGTAGGTTAAATGTCTCATTCGTACGGGAAACAACAGCTATGAAGCTCTGGTGTTTGATTAGCTGCCAAACAAGCTGTTAGCGACTGTCACATGTTATCCTATCATATTGACTTTTAATGCTGTGGAAGTGTGTCATTCAGCCAAAGGGCGACCAAACATTATATTGATTAGCATGGTGTTAACATAGTATTAGAGGTAAAACTGTGTCATTATTGATTTATTGATCATACATATAGCGCAGACTGTAATAGGATTGCATTCATTTTCTTATTTAAATTTTTTTTAAAATTGATTGGTTTAATTAATTCGATTTAGGATAAATACACTTGAGTGGTCACTGTTTTCTATTGAATACAGATATTTTAGCTCTAATGCTTTAGTAGTGTCCTGTCCATGACTTTACCTATTTCAAAGGGTTCTATGTTTCTCAGGTGGGGAACTACAAGCGTACAGTAAAGCGAATCGAGGATGGCCATCGGCTCTGCAATGACATGATGAGTTGCATACAGGAGCGTGCCAAGATCGAGAAGGCCTATGCCCAGCAGCTCACCGACTGGTCTAAGAGGTGGAGGCAGCTCGTGGAGAGAGGTGCTGAATGATTTATAACGTGGCCATGGAGAACCATGTTTGCTCACTTCAGAAATCCTTGAGTAGATTTAAAGTGACAACCTTGAAAGCAAATGTTGTGTCTAAATAAACTTCTCTTTCACCCTTGCATTCTAACTCAATCAGTTCTAATGCGTTGTTATTGCTGCTCGCAGGGCCGCAGTACGGCACTCTGGAGAGAGCCTGGTTAGCTGTGATGACAGAAGCAGAAAAGGTGAGCGAGTTGCACCAGGAGGTGAAAAATAACCTGCTGAACGAGGACTTGGAGAAGGTGAAGAACTGGCAGAAAGATGCCTACCACAAACAAATGATGGGCGGATTTAAAGAAACCAAAGAGGCGGACGAGGGGTTCCGAAAAGCCCAGAAACCTTGGGCCAAAAAACTCAAAGAGGTGAGGTGACAGAACTTCTCTCACAAGTGTTTTTTTGTGACCCATTTCCAATTAATGATTGCAAACGGCCTTCCAATTACATTCTACATTCTTTTAAATGTGCACTGTCGTTTTTCCACTTAAAAACATACATATTATTTTCAAAAAATGATTGCTAGAGAATACCAGCTTATTATTTTGCACACCAATCACCCTGAAGTGAAATGCCATAAATGCTGGTGATTTAGAGGCAGTCAAACCTGGTCTATGTTTGAATTAATATACTATTTATGCAGTAAATGGTGTGTATGCTTTGCACAGTATGCATATTTTCTGTATGCATGGAAAACCTGAGTATTTTTGTTTGAATGTGCAGTATACAACAGAGCACTGTGTGGAATACTAAATCCCAGAATTCAATGTGCTTGACTTGAAACAATTGAAACGCAATGATAAAAAAAATATTAATGCCAAATAACCATATTTATTTTCTGAGATATTATTTGGTCACCATTCGGTGAATTAAACATGCAATGCAATGAGGTCATGTGACAGCAATGTATAATGTGCAAGCATAATGTATTCTGTTTCACGTAATATAAAAAAAAAAAAAAAATAGTATGCAACAAGCAGTAATCTAATATACTATTTCTAATATAGCCATAAACAAGAAATGACTTAGTGCATGTTATAACTTGGCTGATGAAATACAAACAAATCATTGAATAATTCACTCACAATGCTTACCATGTTCATCTTATCTTTTATTTGCAGTTGGAAACAGCCAAGAAAACATACCATATGGCCTGCAAGGAAGAAAAAATTGCATCTACAAGGGAGGCCAATAGCAAAGGAGAGGCGTCAGTCACATCAGATCAGCAAAAGAAACTCCAAGAGAAGGTGGACAAGTGCAAAAACGACGTTCAGAAGGTCAGCCAAGAAAACAATGCATATTATGTACAACATGCATATTTCATAAACAAACCAAAAGTGATGCACTTACAATGAAAGTCTATGGAACGAATATAAAATTCCTTTAAATTGTGTGCATGGCATATATTATTCTCAATGTTTTTATATTTTAACAGTATCCAAAAAATGTTGACCTAGAATGCAACATATCTGTGGTCTGGTCTCTTTTAATATTCTTGTTGATATTCAAAACTCACCACAATAGATTCAACAGACAGAAAACAGAAATATCCTCAAGCAATTTCAACCTCTATTCATTACACCAGCAGGTCCGACTCCCCAGAGCTTACTTTCATATTACTACTCTGCCTTTGGACCACTTAATAGGGGTGTTCAATAAATGGCCCCCTAGTGCACCGTACAGCCAATTCATTAGCCTTTAATCTAAACCAGCATCCATTATAAGCACTTAACCCAGAGTCCCAGTGGAACCAGCTCTGCCACAATAGAACAATGGCCAAGCTGGACATTTGAGTGACAGCTTTAGTTAGCTATAAAACCATCCCATATAATGATATTATTAAATTAAGAATATCTACACATGCTCTAACTTTACAACTCACATTTCACCCCTAAAAGAAAAATATATAGAGATATTTTGCATAAAGCAATCAAACCTGTCATTAAGATGTTTGCATTTTGTCATTACTTTCATGACATTTCCATCAGAAATGTGTCTGGACATTTAACTTTTGAGCTAATTTGAGCTTATTTTTCTTATTCTCATTACTGTGATGATTCTTAAATTACTATAATACAGTTATTTTAATACAGCATAGTAATATACAATTTCTTATCATTCTTTGTTTGTTTTTTTGTACTATGATAATGAGAATTTGGGGGGAAATGTGAGCATCACAATATATATATCTTACTAGTCCTAAAAATATTTTTGTTTGTTATTTAAAATATGTTGGGTTTTTTTTTGTTACTTTTGTTTTTACAGTCTACTTATAATGCCATGGTTTTGTGTACCAAAGTCATTATTTAGTTTAACATGATCATTTTCCGTCCTCTCTGACACTTTAACAGGGTTAGAATTTAACAGGCTTTAATTTTAGAACTTTATGCAAGTACCCTTTGTTATGATTGGCTCACCTCTTCATATTTGCATAAATGGGACATCTCATATTTATGCAACAAGTCAGAAGATTTAAGATGTTTGTTTTTTAGGCCAAAGAGAAATACGAGAAGACCCTTGATGAGCTCAGCAAGTGCACGCCGCAGTACATGGAGAACATGGAGGTCGTGTTCGAGTCAAGCCAGCAGTTCGAGGAGAAGAGGCTGAACTTCCTCCGCGAGGTGCTTCTGGATATCAAACGCCATCTTAACCTCACTGAGAGCCAAAGGTCAGCTTGAAATCAGACACAGATCGGGTCTCCTAAGCCTGGTGGTCTGAAGTCTACTTATTTTTATTAACGTAATGCTTTCATAATGCATTTTTTACATCATCTATATGCTAGTGTCCTGTTGACAAACTAAACTTTTAGCAGATGTGCACTATTATTCAAAAGTTTGGTGTCAGTAATTTTTTTTTTTAAAGAAATGAATATTTTATTCAGCATTTAATTGATCAAATGTGAATAGGAAATACATTAGCACATATGAAAGAAAATTGCATCAGTCATTAGTCTCTTAAAAAAACTCTATAATTCATATTCTACAGCTATGCCACAGTCTACCGGGAACTGGAGCGTAGCATCACCTCAGCCAGCGCCCAAGAAGACCTGAAGTGGTTCAACAACCTCCACGGGCCAGGCATGCACATGAACTGGCCACAGTTTGAGGTAAAGTCCATATGTGGGATCAGTGAGAACGCACTCTATCTGGTGTAACTTACTGAGTATTTCTCATATAATTCCTCTTGTCTCTAAATCAGGAGTTCAACCCAGAACTGAGCCACTCTATTAATAAGAAAGAGAAGGTGAAGAGGAACCATGATGGAATCACGTTGACTCAGATCACCCATGGTGTAGATCCGGGCACACCGCAGACTGGAGACCGGGGCAGGTACAGAGGTTTTTGTGTTATTTAACCCTATAAAGCTTTGTGTTATTTAACCCTATAAAGCTTTGTGTTATTTAACCCTATAAAGCCTTGTGTTATTTAACCCTATAAAGCCTTGTGTATCATATTTGATACACACATTTCTAACGCCTCGAAATCATCAACTTTGAAAAAACCTGTTGCACACAATCAACTACATGCCTTCTTTCATCTGATTGATAGTTTATACATTTATAGCAAGTAAAAGTCAAGTAAGTTTTAGTGCAGTCATAAAAACATCTTCCTTCAGGTCGTGATGTTTTTGCTGTAAAATCTTGACCTTTTTTTTTTAGAAAGTAAATGTAAGAATAACTTTTTAGATTGTTATTAATATTTCAAGATTAACATTTACTGGGCTAAACCAACTTAGGTGATTTTGATTATCCATTTATCATCTTTTTTTTAAATCATGCTAAAATGTTAGTTTCAAGTATGATACATCAGGCTTTTGAGGAATGTTTTTTTTTTATCTCAATCATCCTATATTATACTACGAGGCTGTTGAATGCTTGAATCTGATTGGCTGACAAACGTTCTAAGGTGTGCAATTATTTTTAGGGAAACGGACGGCTAAAGTAGTTCCAGCAGGTCTTGGCCGCATTACAGTTCCATATCACTTCGCCAGTTATTTTAAAGGTCCTACAACAGCAAAAAAAAAAAACAACGACACTGACCAAGCAAATAAATATAGTAAACGATATGATGAAAACGACTAATTATTTCCATGTTTTTTGCCACAAAATTACGTTTTATTATTCACTTAAAGTACATAGTCTCTTTCTCCTGCTCTCTCTCCCAATCAAACGCACACACACATACAGTACGGACACACAGAAACATGTTGTCAGCGCTGCTCTGATGATTTTATCAGTAAAATAGTTTAGCAACTTAAAAGCTACATGACATTTCTCACTAGCGAGGTAATAACGGCACTGTTCTTGAAGCAGATAAACTTACAGTTTCGCTATTAGTAGAGACGCTGCTGCCCGAACACTGTTGGTAATTCACGCACGCTCAGGTAATTCACACACGCTTAATCTCTCTCTCTCTCTCTCTCTCTCTCTCTCTCTCTCTCTCTCTCTCTCTCTCTCTCTCTCTCTCTCTCTCTCTCTGTATAATAACTGCAATAATCACTGCATTAGTCTACTATCAATGGCTCAAGCCTCCGTTTTTGGAGTTGTGGGATAAGATTAAGATTTGAAAATTTGTCCTTCTCGGGCGAGCTTTTTAATGACAAAAACCTGACAAACGTCTTGAAATCCATAATCTGAACAATGTCAGAATAATTGACTTTGGTCTGTTGAATTATTAGAAAATAAGCCAACTCCACTGCACGTTGTGGTCGCATTACCACCTCGGGTGTGCTTATTTTCTAATAATTCAACAGCCCGCTGTCAATTTGCTTACGTATTGCATTGTAAATATCATCCTAATACGCCATATCTTTAACGGTTATGTTCTTTGTGTGGGCTGTTTTTACTTTCAATTCCATGATGTTTCCTTCCTGTGTTTAGTTCCTGTTCCTAGTTGTTTTCTAAGGTTACTCAACGGTTAGTTGGTTATGTTCACCTGAGTCTTGTTTGGTTCCTCATTTAGCCAAGTATTTAAGCCCTCAGTTTGGTTCTTCTCTTTGTCCTGTATTGTCTTTGCATTAGTGAAGCTGTTACGTTGAGTGTTTCCTTCTGGATTGCCTTTGTTTTTGTAAGTAAAAGTATGTCTGCTGCCACTTATGGCGCTTTTCCATTACCAGTACCAGCTCGACTCGACTCGACTCGCCTTGGCTCGCCTCGACTCGGCTCGCTTTTCGCTCCGTTTTCCATTGCAGAAAGTACCGCCACAAATAGTACCCGGTCGTCATAGCGACGGCTTTCGTTCCTCGTTGCCCCATCAAGCTCTCGCTGGATCCTCTCTTCGGCAACCAAACAAAGGAATGTCTGCACCTCCTCGTTTGACCACGGCGTATTCTTCCGAGTTGCCATAATAATAGTAGTAAGTTTAGTAACTATCTCTGGCCAAACTATTTAAAATACTCCATCTGGCGCGTGCAATGATGACGCAGATTCTCTGTGACCAATCAGCAGTCGGCATTGTTTTCACGTCACATTTTAGTATCGGCTTAGCTCGCCTCAGCTCGCTTGGAACCTCGCCAGAGGTGGTACGAAAAAAAGTACCCGAAAGCAGGTACAGGTACAACTTTTACACAGTGGAAAACCAAACAAAGGCGAGTCGAGTCGAGCCGAGCCGAGCCGAGGCGAGCTGGTACTGTGTAGTGGAAAAGCGCCATTAGATCCTCTGCTCCTCTTCCCTTGCCTGCACTGTGCTGTTTGTTAATGTTCTCCATTGTTGCTAACGCTAACCTCTGGAGAAACTAACCTGCGCTTCTCCCGTCTGGTTGTGGTGTTCAGCGTGAGCAGTTACGAGAGGAACCAGCAGTGTTCTGCCGAGTGGTCTGATGATGAGCAGCCGCCTGCCGCCCAACCAGCCAGTGAAACAAACGGAAATCCATTCGATGAGGAGAGGAAAGGAGTGCGAGTGAGAGCGCTATATGACTATGACGGCCAAGAACAAGATGAGCTCACATTTAAAGCTGGTGAGAATCATGTTTTTGAAAGAAGTCTCTTGAAGGCTGCTGATCAAACAGTAAAAGTGAAATATTGCTATTTAAAATAAATCTGTTCTATTTGAATATATTTTAAAATGTAATTGTATTCCTGTGATGCAAATACTCTAGTCTCATGATCCTTCAGAAATCATTCTAATATGCTGATTTGCTGCTCAAGAAACATTTCTGATGATTATCAGTTACACAGTTGAGCTGCTTCATATTTTAGTGGAAACTATGATACGTTGTTTTCAGGATTCTTTGATGAATAGAAAGTTCAAAAGAACAGCATTTATTGAAATAGAATATTATCATTTATTTGAAATAGAAACCTTTTGTAACATTATACATGTCTTTACTGTCACTTTTGATCAATTTAATGCATACTTACTGAATAAAAGTATTCATTTCTTTTTCAGAAAAGAAAAGGTTTTGAACAGTAGTGTATATCATATGATGGTTATGGCTCTGGACATGCTGGAGCCTACAATTATGTTTTATAAACGTTTTCCAAACATTCCAGGGCTCGACATTAAGCCTTGTGTGCATCGATGACCTTGTTACAGTTAATACATTATTAATCACTGTTTACATTGAATGTAATAAAATCAGAATCATTCTAGTCGGAAGGTTTTGGTGTCTGAAGTTCCTGTACTTCCCAGGTTATTTTTCACTTTTGGTTTTCATCAGGCTACTTGGCAAGGAAAATTCTCTTTCGCTTGCCCTTCCAAAAAAAATTCACTTTCCGGGAAAAGCGGACAAGCGTTAATGTCGAGCCCTGCTTTCCATCTTGGTTTTGAGAATCTGAAACGAACTGTTTTCTTACTGTGAATAAAATGTTGTTTAAACGTTCTAACAATGAAACAATAGAAAATGTTCTAGCAATGTTTATTTCTGATATTCTAATAGCGAGTCGTGTTTTGAATATGTAAGGATGAAGTACATTTTTATAATGGCCATTTCACTGTTCGCTTGCCAAATAGACAAATAAATGGACATTAAATATTGAGTTTAGAATGTATTATGTGAAAAGAAACGCATAGCTACTAGAACATTTTGCATCCTTAATAGTGCATTTTATCAGCTCTTAACTGTACATCTACATGTTTTCCCAGGAGACGAGCTGATCAAACTAGAGGATGAGGACGAGCAGGGTTGGTGCAAAGGCCGGCTGGACGGCGGTCAGCTAGGCTTGTACCCGGCTAACTACGTTGAGCCCATTTAGTTGCCTTGTGTGGTGAAGAAGGCCTTAAAGACTTTACCCCACACTGCTCGAATGCGAGATTCCGGAAAAACCATTTCCTTGCCTGATTGACTTGCTGAAAAGCTTTACGCAGCATTTTCTTAACTCCGTAGCGAAAAAAACCTACAGCATTCAAAACACATATCAAATCCTAGCGAGAGCAGAGAATGATTCTGTGCGTCTATGTAGCCATGTTCAGTATGAGTTATTGTGTTGCTGACATGTGTTCACGTATGGTCTCCTGTAACAATATTAACATACTGACATCCATGAAGCCTAGCATAGCAAGAATCAGCTATGCAATGTGTATACTAGACTTTTATTTTGAAGTGGAATGTTCTGTTGAACCTAGTGAACATGAATTTCGCTTACATAATCTGACATATTTATGTGTTAAACAAGATATTCAATGAGAACAAATTTAGGGCGGGACTTTATTTTATGCTAATTTGATGTGAAAAGTGGGCGTTACATAGCAGAATGGGGCCATGTGGTTGGAGGGGAGGGGTTTAAAATTTAACGGATGGTGACATCATTCATCAAGGAGAGTTGATGTAGAGGTGGAGCATTTTAAAACTTATTTTTCTGGATAAATTGTGCACTAGAAATTTGTTTTAACAAAGTAAATACAGTCAGTTTTGAATATACGTTGGCTTTAATGTGAAATGCATCAGGATTTTTGTCCATTTTTTTCATCTAAGTGCAAATTATGCCTCAAAACACATTTCCATGTTTTTCTTCTCTTTTTTTATATTTTAGTTTCCCCATTTTAAAAAACATGTAAAGAGCTTGTGAACAAATTGTAAGCTTTCACTTTAAAGACTGGAGAATTATGGAGAAGTGAAACTTTTTTAAATATCCTGATTCTAAAGGATGGCTGATGGAATTTTTGTCTTTATGTGGAATAAATCCAGAATGAATCAGAACTGAAATTCTAAAAGAAAAAGAAGTTTAGTTTATCTAGTGCATTTTTTTAATCGTTTTTATTTTTTTTGGATTAAATTGTGATTTTAAAATTTAATTTATTTATTTTTATTTTCTTCAGAATTTTTGACTTAGGATATTAGTTATGATTTCATGACCATTGAACTGTGTGGTTCACATTGATCTCTGGGCACATGCTATTGAAAAGTATGTTCAAATGCTTTTAAGTAGGCCTATTTCTTCTGCCTTTTTGTCTCTTTATGTAAATGGGAATATCTTTTAACAATAACTTATTCAGTAAGCAAACTCCTTACTGTAGCGCAACAATAATAATAATTTCATTTGTCATGTTTTCAACACTGTAGCTTTGTTTTTAGTGTGGGTGCTCAGCCGGTATGGATTGCGTCTTTAAGAGCAGGATGGAGAAGGTGACGTGTGTGTGTGTGTGTGTGTGTGTGTGTATATACTGTATGTTTAGACAGGACTGATGTGCTCTACTCTTCATGTCAGTGTAGTAACTGTTCCATTCAAGTTCACAATAAAAATCTGAGACAAATGCTAATGATTCCAAAGTTTTGGGTCACCACTAGAGGTCAGCATTGCAGAAGACCTTTACTATACTGTTTATAGTGTACTGTACAGTATATAATATACAGTAAATCGGTCATAGTTCGCCCTAAAATCCATAGATAAAGGCTGTAATATTTGTATTCATGCAAAAAATTTTTTTTTACTATTTACTATTTGTTTACGTAAATTATAATACTTTTAATAAACATAATAAATATGAATAGAATAATTAAATAATGAAATAAAAATATTCGAATAAAAACATTATCATTACTAAATATTTTTTTTATTTAATTTACATCTCAATAGAAAAAAGTAACAAACTCCAAAGTAAAATATCTGGAAGCAATTTGGTAATGAGAATGTGGGTGGAATATTAATTGTCACGAAAGCTTTCTTTCTTTCTTTTCTTTCTTTCTTTCTTTCTTTTTTTTTTTTTTTTTGGGTGCAAAATTATTTCTTTTAATTATTTCGTTTGGGGTGAAATGTGGACATGTTTTTGTAAGATTCACCCATACCCTTTTATTTAAAAAATAAAGAAATACCATGCTACATGTTAAGTGTTAACAATATAGTGATACAATTATGATTGCATAAAGAACAAGTGAAATACAGTAGACTGCAAAATGAAAAAGGAATATTTAATAAAGAAACTTAGGCAAAATGCATGAGGAACAACAACTGAATGTACATGAAAAAAACTGCCTTTCAGCTCTGGTATAACTGTATACGGATAATATTTCGTAATGCTGACATTTGAGTCCAGTGTCTCTTTGAGATTAGACTTCACAATAGAGATTTACAAAAATACAAGAGCCACAATAGAAACCAAACCTCCTCAGGCTCTTAAACTCGGACTTCCTGAGCATGTGTCAATTAACAGTTACAACACACACACACACACACACACACACACACACACACACACACACACACACACACACACACACACACGTCACGTGACAGAGGTCGGTAAGCCCTCATTTGCATCAGTATAAGACGTGATGTGATCGTGGAGGCGTGTGCAAAGCTGGCCGATTATTGAAGAAAGTGGAGAAAGTTCACATGGACAGACTTGAAAGGTTTGCAGTGTAATTAATCACAAACCAGAAAAAAGGGATGTTTGTTGGGTGGCAGGCAGAGATTAACGCAAACTCGAGGCCTTTCCACTGCAAACCATGGGCAGAGAAATGAAGGTTTGCTCAGTGACACGCTGGCACATTCACACGATCATTCACACGCTTGCTGAGGATCAGATGATAGACAGACCTGGCGAGGAGGAACCTGTAACATACTTTAAAGAATATACTAAATCTCTTTTATTTTAACCTTAGTGCTACGGTTAAACATCAACATGTATTCATGAAGTAACAGTGCAAAGCTGAAACCACGTTTGAGGCAATAAGACATTACAGGCAAAAGCATTGTTTTTTAAGCACTTGTCAATTTTGAGATTTTGGGCTATTTTGCTTCCATAACATGTTTAGATTTTCATTACAGTTTTTTTTTTCTGCACTGAGTCAGAAATCTATGGAAGCTTGTTAACGCCACGGAATAAAACAAAAATTTTAAACGATAATTGCGACTTTTATCTCACAATTCTGACGCCATCCCCAATTATAGGCCTATATTGCGAGATATTATAGCTTAATATGTAGGCTAATCTAACAATTGCGTTTTATAATGTCAGAATTGCGCGATTTAAACTGGCAATTCTGAGAAAAATTATCACTGGCTTAATAACTCGCAATTGCGAGTTTAGGCTAAATCACTCAGTTCTGAGGGGGAAAGTCAGAGTTGCGAGTTTCACTCTTAAAAATAAAGGGGGTTTTCACAGCAGTGCCATAGAAGAACCATTCTGGGTTCCTTAAAGAACCTTTCAGTGACCAGTTATGGAAAGAACCATATTTACGTGGTTTGAAGAACATTTGACAAACCTAAAGAAACTTTTTCTGATATAAAGAATCTTTTGTGCAATGGAAAGGTTCCATGGATGTCAAATGTTCTTTATGGAACCATTAATGGCAATAAAGAACCTTTATTTTATTTTTTTAGAGTTTATATAACTGTATTCTGAGAAAAGAAGTCAGAGTCACACTTTAGTTTAGGGTCCAATTCTCACTATTAACTAATTATTAACTTTTGCCTCAATAAACTCTAATCACTGCTTTTTAATGGTTATTAAAGTAATTGTTAAGTAAGTTTAGGTATTGGGTGTATTAAGGGATGTAGAATAAGGTCATGCAGAATAAAAGGCATTAATATATGCTTTATAGTAATAAACAGCCAATATCCTAGTAATATGTATGCTAATAAGCAACTAGTTATTAGTGAGACTTGGACCCTAAACTAAACTGGGAAGTCAGAATTGAGATCATGTATATTTTTTTTACAAATTCGCATTTACCTTTTTTATTTCTATTCGGTGGCGGAAAAAAGCTTCCATATAAAACTTTACTTAGTATTCCTTACATACTCCAAACTTTATAGTTTTATTCCTATCTACTATGTTCTAAAGATTTTTACAGAGGGGTTTGTCAATTATCATTGACCTGATTTATATAACATTTTATTCCTAAAAACACGGTGAACTTTGCTTTTTCTGGCTGTTGACAGTATTTTCCGATTTATGGAGTGGTATAATAAGACCCAAAACCCCATCTGTAAAAATCTTTCAATCTAATATGTCTACAAAATCAAACAAGATTTGTCCAATGTACAGATTTCTGTTCTGGAAAAAACATATTCAATGTTTGAATTATCTCTGAGTTTGCCTGTAGTTTCTCCCTTTAATGGTTTAAGAGTGTTAAACAGACACACAAGTGTTTTTAAAAGAGTGCAAGTTTATATCGGACCTTTCCAAGCACAGTTATATTTTATACTTAGAAAACTTTCTTAAATTTTTCTTGGTTTCGCTGTTGTGCAAAACCCAGGAATAATCTCCAAAATAAAGCAAGAAAAGTGTAGGAGGGTTTGTCAGTTCATATAGTTCTGAGTTCGCTATCTCTCTTATACTGGATGGACAAACTGATAGACGAGTCTTTGCGAGACATCTGGCTTGCGGATGATGCCCTTCTTATAGTACTGCCGAATAGAGCGGCTGAGTTTGTCATAGTTCATAGCCGGACGGTTCTTCCTCAAACCCCAGAGACGTGCCACGTGAGCAGAGTCTTCGATCTTGAAGATCCCTGTGAACACACAGATCCGTATGGCATCAGGTAAGAAACTTTACTAACAAACCAAACATAGCATGAGACATAAAGGGTGTTTTTGCAGTGATGCTATACAATCATCATATTGGGTTCCTCAAATAACCTTTCAGTAAGCAGTTTCATTTCTTCTTAGTATGAAGAACATTTTAAGAGTCTAAAGAAGCACTTTAAAGGGTTAGTTCACCCAAAAATTAAAATTCTGTCAGTAATTCTCGCCCTCATGTTGTTCCATCCAACCCCGTAAGACGTTCGTTCATCTTCGGAACACAAATTAAGATATGTGATTAAATCTGACAGCTGTCTCACTCCTCCATAGGCTTCTAAGGGATCGAAACTGGCCAGCCCAGAAAAGTTATTAAAGACATCGTTAAAATGAAGGGTGTCACGATTTCGATCTTAAATCGAAATCGATCGAAATTAAAAAAAAATCGAATCGATCGAATTAAAAAATGGAATCGTCGATGCTGCCACGCCCCCATGTCACGTCCGGTCGGCATGCCAAGCGGGAAAAAAACATGCGTGTTCAGGGACGGACTGGGACTAAAAAACGGCCCTGGACTTTGACTAGGCCCGGCCCAAAGCAATCGGCGCGCGGAAACTCGACAACAACAACAACAATAACCTGCTGCCTGGCATGAGTGTCACAAGACTTTAATTGTGGCTCATAATACTATACCTAGCTAACAGCAAATTATACAATCTATTCCATGCTGTCTTAAAATGAATTTATTAATAATCTTAATTAATTTATGCAGTAATTAATCTTAGCTACTGCACAAATAATAATACCACATCTAAATGAAAATATAGGCTACACCATTACAAATGTAACTTCTGTATTCAAAATCTTCAAAGTTTGTAAGCATTAACTGTAACGTTACCAACATTTTTAAAAGTAAAAGCACAACATATTTCTTAATATTAGCTACTGCATGTGGCATTTTACAGCTAAAATGTTGAAGTTTAGCTGTTTTAACTACTGTAATCATTAAAAATGTAGCAAGCTGAATATCACTTCCTAACATCATCCCTAGCAAGTAACTTGCAAAGTAATTTCTGATTAATTAGGTTCGTCAGTAGAGATAAAAGCCCACCCGCACTTGATTGGTTGGATCCTTATATGCGCTTCGTGAGGCACACGCGCATACTAGCACACACACGCAAGGTCTCTAGCTCGCTCCCTCTCTCTGCCGTGCGCGCGCTACGCATGCGCACTCTTATTCGCTCTAGATTCCGAGAGATTTTAACTAATTTGCGGGCATCGGTGAGCGCTATAAATATGCGGGGAACTTCCGGGAGACTTGGGATGTCTGTGACTGCGTGTGTGGCGGGTGGTGGGCCGGTGGGCCGGCCCGCCGGCCGTCCTGGAGTACCGGCCGTTCTGTGATTCTCCAGATCACACAGATGGCCAGTCCGCCCCTGTGCGTGTTGAAAAGCTGCGAGTCTATGGTCAACCTCCTCTAACTTAGCTACAGCCAAAAGATAGCATGTAGGGCTGTGAATCTTTGGGTAGGCAGCGAATCGATTCGATTCACGATTCATAGGTTTTCGATTCGATTCAAGAACGATTTTTCGCAAATTCAGAAAGATTCGATTCAATGCGATTCACATTAAAATTCGATGCTATTCGATTAATTCGATTCGATTCTTAATTTTTTATATGCATTCATAGGATTATTTAAATGCTTCCCCCAATGGGTCTTAGTCAGGGTGTGAATTATACAGCTGCCTTCGGGGGTCAGAGGGTGAAAAAAAAAACCACATTTTGTCTAATTGTTAACGTTAGTCCATGTTAGTTTTTAATGAATCTATTATTATAAAAAATATTTCCAAAGCCTATAAATTAGCATTTGTAAAAATGTAAACCAAGATTTAAAAAGGCTTTAAAAGTATAGTTAGTTCATCATGCAAACTATTTTGTAGGAATGGATACACAACCTTAAAGTGTTCCTGGTACATTAAACATCCTCCATTGTGAGACTAAAAATACCATGAACTTTCCCATCCCAACTAAACCTTAACTAACGTTTCCTCATGGAATAGCTACTCGACTGATTGTCCTTGTGATTCTGAAAGAAAACGCGCCGGCTGTCTACTTGTGCTATATTAACGATTACGAATGCAACTTTAATGCGCATCTGATTGATGGATAAACCACGCGCTCTTATTTCAGTGTAATTAATGTTGTAGTTATTTCATCAGTTCAGTTTAACGACATTAAGTTACATTTCATTCATCATTCATGATTAATTGGAAGCGTGTGCATTTTAGACACCTATTATACGTTTTCTCTTTCCATGTAATAAATGCGCACCCTTGAATAAGTGGGGTTTTACTTTAACTGCTCAGGACGGGTATGACCCATTTCCGTAAAACTTCAGTAGCCTATCTTATCTTAAAGAAAATAACGGTGACGTTTCCACGCAACGAACGCGTTGTTTCATAGCAGTGACCGCGCAATGACAGCTTTATCGATGGCTTGCTTTCTCGATAGAGAGCTGTCATCTGCTCATGTGAACACCTGTCCTGAGGAGAGCTCAAACACGGACTGCTCAAAAATCTGTAGATGAGAGCTATATGGGACCGAGCGCGAGCGAAATCCAGTGAAAGATGGTAAGAGTGCAGCGAGTATGTGAGAGCTGTGAGGACGCGAAATGACGCCGCACAACGCCTCATTAATTCGCGCATGTAGTCATTTAATGTTTATATGTTTTAAAGCACTGAATCGATATAGAATCGCAAATTATTCGATTCTTAGCATTTTAAATCGAATATTGACCGAAATAAACGATTCACGATTCGAAATACATGTTTCAAGATCGATGCATATGCATCGTCAGGATTTGTAATCGATGCATTGAGAAAACGAATGAATCGTTACACCCCTAATAGCATGGCAACTGCAGATGCAGGAGACCCATCGACAGAACTTGAACCCCCTCCTCTTTCATTGAAGTCGCAGGTGTGTATGTTTTTTTGGATTTCCAGTGAGTTATGTTGACAACGTTCGCGCTTCAAAAAAGCCACAGTTTACTTTGCAGACATCCCAAGTCTCGCGGAAGTTCCTGGAGTCTCCAGGAAAGTTTCGACTTTAAAAAAATAAATGTAAAAATCGAGAATCGAATCGAACCGTGACCTTAGAATCGAAAATTTTATCGAATCGAGGATTTGGAGAATCGTGACACCCCTAGTTAAAATAGTCCGAGTGACTACAGTGGCTCAACCTTAAGTTTATCAAGTGACGAGAATACTTTTTGTGCGCAAAAAACAAACAAAAATAACGACTTTATTCAACTATTCATTTCCTTCTCTGTGGGCCGTGAGATTTCACGTCGTGTAACTGCGCAGCGCTTCTAGGTTGCACGTCACACGCAGGCTCACTATTGGCCGACGCTGGTCATGTGGGTGATGCGTGTGACGTACAATAGTTGAATAAAGTCGTTATTTTTGTTTGTTTTTTGCGCACAAAAAGTATTCTCGTCGCTTGATAAACATAAGATTTTAACGATGTCTTTAATAACTTTTCTGGGCCGGCCAGTTTCGATCCCTTAAGAAGCCTATGGAGGAGTGATCCAGCTCTCAGATTTAATCAAAAATATCTTAATTCGTGTTCCGAAGATGAACGAAAGTCTTACGGGGTTGAACAACATGAGGGAAAGTAATTACTGACAGAATTTTCATTTTTGGGTGAACTAACCCTTTAAACAAAAGAATGTTTTGTAGAATGAAAAGATTCCATGGAACCATTGATGCCAATAAAGAACCTTTATTTTTAAGATTGTAGTATGGTGGTATTTTTGGAAATACCTTGGAGTACCATAGTTTTAAGCATCCTTTTTTCTGTCCCATCATCAGCATCCAAGACTGCCATTATTGTGTATCTGTATTGTGCAGAAGAGCTGCTCACCTTTGTCTTTATTCAGCCAGCGGATGCAGCGTCCGTAACTGTGGGGTTTGAGGAGAAGTTCTCTGAGGAACTGCCACAGGTGGATCGGCTGACCAGAACAAGACGAATCTGCTTCTGACCACAGCTCTTCACCTTCTGCAAGACAACACACACGGACATGGTCACCGCACTTTTCCAAGTAAGACATTTCTGTTGGAAAATGTAGTCCTAATCCTATCACCTAAACCTAAGCTTAAAGGGATAGTTCACTTTGAAATTAATTTTTGGTATGTTTTAGCTTACCTCAAGGGCATCCAAGATGTAGGTGTCTTTGTGTCCGCAGTAGTTTCAATTTTGATATTTTTAGGTCAAACCGTTCTTGTCTGTCAGTCATATAATGCAGGTCTATGGTCACCACCTCAAAGAGCATGCACAGAGAAGTCCAAATTAAACATGATTTAATGACTCGTAAATGTAAGTACACATTGATGGCCTAAGACACGAAACGAGCGGTTTGTGTGAGAAAACGAACAGTATTTATATCGTTTTTACCTCTTGGAACCACAGCCACGTCCAAGTGATCTGAGGGCGCGGGCGCTTCGGTCTACTGTTCGAAATACTGTTCGTTTTCTCACACAAACCGCTCGTTTCGTGTCTTAGGCCATCAATGTGTACTTACATTTACGAGTCATTAAATCATGTTTAATTTGGACTTCTCTGTGCATGCTCTTTGAGGTGGTGACCATAGACCTGCATTATATCCTCCTGGGACCCAAGAATAGACTTTTGTCCACTGTAGTGGACATTATATTTTAGTGAATTTCTCTGACATCATACATGTCACATGACACAACCTGGGTGTCCTGTAAAGAGCACATTCAGGACTTTTCAGAGATACCAAATGTTTGGAGGTTTCACCATGAAAACAACTTCTCCTTGGTCTTTAAAAATGTCTGACATTAATTTAGTGATCAAATGTAGCATTCTTATGGAAATATGATAATATAGTGTAATTATAATATAAATTGGACTACTTTTCAAATTGTATTTCATAAAACAACATCTCAGGAAAATGTTAAGGGGTTTCAAAAAAAAAAAAAACTTTCTGTTACAGAACAGGGCATTGATTTCAAACGTGTCCACTGTAGAGGACATCAGGACTAAAATCATGTTTATCAGGCATTCTGGGAGACACAACAAGTGAATATGGAAATAAATTATACATCAATATTCCTATGAAATGTTAGATATTATTATTAAAATGTTGCCAATTATTACTCCAATTATTACCCTTTATTCTTTCATTAAATGTTGCTCCAAGAACACATTAATGTGCAAATTAGATACAGTGTATAGATACATTGCATTGAATGGGAATATTAACTTATGGCCATTTTACCCACATATTGCAAAAAGTAAAATGGTGTATCAATTCATTCCATTATTTCTTTCATAACATAGTTGAGAATGATCTTTATACAAATTTTGGTTGAAAAAATCCTGAAACCCCAAAATGTATTGGTGATTGAAAAAAAATCCCATTGTTTTTGCCTATACATATCATTTCATGTCATTTTATTTTTTAAACAACTTAGTCCTGGCGTCCACTACAGAGGACATAGCATAACGTATGAATAAAATATTATTTTATATATATGTTTTTTTTACCATTTGTTTATTGTGCTCTAAACAGTGTGATGACATGGAAAAAAACTAAATTCAAAAAACTTTTTTTTTCTGGGTCTCAGGAGGATATGACTGACAGACAAGAACGGTTTGACCTAAAAATATCAAAATTGACGGAAACAAAGACACCTACATCTTGGATGCCCTTGGTGAATTACACTGATGGAGAAGTGAATTACACTGATGGAGAAGCACCAAACCCTGGGTGTAAGCCGAAACTTGACATCAACTATAAACTTGTCCATTTAATAAAAATACATTCATATTCCATCTAAACTGCAAGCATGTGACACTCAAAAAGCTGTTTCAGTCAATCGTTTCACATCCCTTCATTGATTCTAATGGAGTGTTTGGGTTTGTTTTGTCACATAGTTTAGCGAATACATTTAAAAAAAAAATTAAATCAAGAAAGATCCCGATTAAATCTTGTCTGTTTATGGAAATAATACATTTGCACTAACAAACTGATGTCTGAAATCAGTGCTATTCTGGTCTGCTGTTCTTCACTTTATATGTATAGTGTTCATCCTACAATTACAAAAAGTTATTATTTTTTTATTTGAACATGGACCATGGAGCCGGATTATTTATATACTATTACTGTGTTTATTAATATTTTGAACTAGCTTTTATTTTTATATTTTCATTTACATCAAATTATTAAAGCGTAAACTATTTCTGTTTTGATTTATTTTTATTTAAGTTATTTTTTATTAATTTTAACACTTCAAATTAAACTTATTTTATTTCAGTTATTTGCCCAGGTAACTTTTCACATATTCCCTCACGTTTAAGTTTTTCATCTAATATTTACATTTGATTCTATTTTAGCTTTGCACGACAACAGCGTTTTTGGGGTTTTTCTGAAACCGACACCGTTATCGTCTCTGTGAAAACTACAAAACCGTGAATTTGTGAAATTGCACATGCGTATTACGTGTTCGGTCTACAGGCGCATAGTGTTTCTTTACAAAGTGATCGCACTCTACTGGCCTGGCAGCAGAACACCGCGCTTTTAGACGCTTTTATCAATCCGTGTGAACAGGGATCATTTTGACAACGTTGTCGTGACGTCTATACGCGAAAAACACAAACTTCTCCATTTTTTGGTAAGTTTTAGTTAACAATATCAACACTGCCATGGAAATAACATGGTATATGAATATTGTAAACATTAATATTTGTAAAAGTAGTGATATAAATGTCTCACGAATACCTCTTTTGTTTATTGGCATTAATCGTTCAGATCTGGACAGGTTAATCTTAACTCTTTGCTGTTGTTTTCTGGTCAGTCCATGGTAGATTTGTAAGGTAATGCCATGGTATTGTTCTGTATTTTAGTATCGTCTGTGTAGTTTACAGTGATGTTTCTGACTGATATGAGCATGTGACGTACCTCTCATCCTGGTCTCTCCACCTGAACATTTCTCCTTCATCCAGGCAGCTGAATGCACAAAGAAATGAGAAATACAGCATAAATACACACATGCAAGCGTCCAAGATGACTTCTGAATTTAAAAAACAGTTTCAAACATGCAAAATGGTAATGTCACTGTGAACCACAGCTGCTACAAGTGGTTTTTATTGATTACCTGTAAACATGTTTCATTAATAAACTATGTTAATTGCTTTTACAGTATTTCTTAACTTAAGGAAATGGGTCTTAAAATGCCTTCTACATATAGGGAATAAGCGAATAAATGGTTATTATTCTTCAAGATTAATCTTGAATTCGCTTTTATTTGTTTAATTTTAGTTTATTTTTAGTACTTTTATTGTGTGCTGTATTTCAGTTAATTGCCAATGCAAACATTTAAAAAAAAACATTTTTATAAAAATAAAAATATATATTTTATTCCAGCTTTAGGTAACACTTTATTTTAAGGTTACACGTTACTACATGTACTTACTATAGTAATAACAGTAAATTATGCATAATTACAACTAACTAACTAACCCTTAAACCAAATCCTAACCATAACTCTATAGTAAGTACATGTAGTTAGTTAATATTACTCAGTACTTGAGTACAATGTAACAAAGTATTTGAGTAAGTACAATGTAAAACACGTCACATTAAAATAAAGTGTAACCCAGATTTGTTTTAATTAACATAAAAATTTAACCGTTTTAGTTAACAATAAGAACACTGTGTGTAACACTTTATTTTACAGTGTGAAATGTTACATGTTACATAGTAATAACAGTAAATTATGCGTAATTACTTGCAACTAACCCTCAACCAAACCCAAACACTACCCTAACCCTATAGTGAGTACATGCTGTTAATTCATATTACTCAGTACTTGTAACAATGACACCTTCAAAAAAGTGTAATCCAACACTGTCAATATATTGTATTTCAATATAACAATGTAGTAAGGTTTACTTCCTGATGGGACAATTTCATTCATATTCACACTGAGGAATCATTGTTTGCATGCAGTGCTTAGTGCAAGTTCAGCGTAGACGTAGTACACGCACACTGATCCGAATATTTCACCTGATTTCCATATATCCAGATGTGCGTGTAACGTTTCACTGCACTGTGGAGAACGCTGTCGGAAGTCTTCCTCGCTCATGGAACATAAATCTTTCCCATCCAGGTCTTGGAAGGCCTTTCCCACCTGAGGAAGCCTGTAGAGATGCTCCGTCCACAACAGCCACTTCTGAACGTTCCCACTATTCCACTCCATCGGGTCTGAAAGATCAGATCAGATCCGATTAGAAGTCACTCATCTTGATCGGTCCAACCACCTCTGACAGAGCACACTGTTGGGATTCAGAGCTGTTTGGACAGACTCCAAAATGTTTTGGAAGGTCTTATAGAGAGTTAGTGAAGGAAAGCGGCATTCAGAAGAGCAAACAGTGGGGATGGGTGTTTACGCAAGGTGGTGTGACTTTATAAAGACGCACAATTGAGCATGATACCGCAAAATGATGTGAGTGCGTACATAAAATAAGGGCAGATCAATAAATCAATTGCAATGTGACATGTCACATGCAATTAAAGCTAATTATAAGTTACTTTTAAGATGCATGGCTATTTAAAAACAATATCTGCGAGACATGTTTGAATGTTTGCTTTCTCATCATCGTTATACGGGAGGGGTTTGAATGTCCTTAAGGAAAGTTAGTGCAACAAAGCTCTCGGTACATTAGTGAAACTCTGGAGGATTAGCAGATCCTGGTGGAGATACTTCCAGCTGCCTTCAGGGCCGGCTCAGTCATTCATTGAAACTAACAGTTTCATTCTGACTGTTTGCACGGCTCAATCATAACCCTGAGCCGCCTGTCACTCACATTGACCATAAGAGATTAATGGTGAGCTGTTCATTTGAATAAGTGTCATGATAATATGAGCATGTTATGTTTTAATGCCGCGCCTGTGAATAAGATGTGTCATCATAGCTGTAATAAGGAAGGTGTTTTTTACATAGTGTTATAGGTTGTTTGCTAAATTTGGAAATTTGGCTTTTTGACTTTGAGGATTGAGCTATTTGATTAATATACTTGACCTGTTATTAAATAAATATATGACCTTTATCATATCTTTCTTATTTATATGACTAATATAGCTGCTCTGTTTGAACATAGCCCTTTAAAAATCTAATCTGAATTTGGGGGATTACTTTATGATCTTGTCTAAATTTTTTGCATAAATATCAGATCTTGATTTGTTTCTGTAATATATTAAGACTTGGATAGCTTGGCATAATAATCTGAATCTAATGTGAATTCACAGTATACTTGTATATCAGATGATCAGATGATTTTTTTCTTACAACCTGAATCTAATCTTAATTGAATCTAAATGAATGAACTAGCAGTGTAAATGCTACTCTCGCCTAAACATCTTAATTTAACATAAACATTAAACGCATTAATGTGAAAGTTTTGAATGCAAGACATTTATACAGTTTTGTACACATTTTACAATTTTGCACCAAAAAGATAAATATATACATTATATATATTTATTTATCTTTAATGTTTAATTAATGAAATGTTCAATGTTTTTATGTTCTGAGTTAATATTAAAATTATATATATATAATTTAAATATTTTTAAAAATCCATTTTAATTAATTCATATTAAATTAAATATATATAATTTTTAAAATACACATATTTCTTAAAAAAAGTAATGGAAAAAAAATATTTTATATTTAAAAATGTTTATTTTCTTTTAAAAATGCATATATGTATTTTATATTTAATTAATATAATTAAGAATAAAAAATGTAACATTTCAATTATATATATATATATATATATATATATATATATATATATATATATATTAATTCTTATTTGCATTTATATATATATATATATATATATTATGTAAATATTAAAACAAAAATAATTAAATAATTTATAATGTAAATATTTAATTCATTATTATTAATTTAATTACTTATATATATATATAATTAATATAAATATTTTTTCAAAGTTCAAATAATATTTGTATGTTCTTATAATATAAAAATATACACATAATTTCTTTCTTTCTTTCTTTCTTTCTTTCTTTCTTTCTTTCTTTCTTTCTTTCTTTCTTTCTTTCTTTCTTTCTTTCTTTCTTTCTTTCTTTCTTTCTTTCTTTCTTTCTTTCTTTCTTTCTTTTTATTATTTGAATGGTTCCGCAGCTTCATTAACCAACATAAACGTGTATGTTATCTCACCTGGTGTGATGTTGAGAAGTTTACAAGCTGTTTCGATGTCCTTCAGGACTTCTCCCACTACCAGACTCTGCACCTGCTCTAGAGATCTCTCCTCCACCTGTTCCTCCAGGGTGGGAGACAGCGGCGAGGTTCCCAGGCCGGGGCTGTCGATCACGGGACACTGCTCCGGTTCCTGACACGAGTCCAGCCTGGACCCGGCCTCGGGCGTGGAGGAATCCGGCAGCCTCACCAGCCAGGCTGTGTCCTCGGTGAACAGCATGTCGAAGCAGGACAGGTAGAGTCCCGGATGGCCTCGGTCCGAGCCGTCGAGACGGGGTTTGTGGTCGACCATCTCTGAGGTTTGCACTACGCCATCTTCTCGCTTGAGAAGGGCCAGCGAGCTCTCGGTGAAGCCCGTGGAGCGCGGCGGCTGAAGAACAGCGCTGTCTGTCTGGATTCGGACTGGACTGGACATTGTCTCCTGCAGAAGGTAAAGAGAAGAGACTTTAAATTAAACCAGACCCCTCAATATTATCCAATACAATGAGTATAATAATGCCTGCCGTATACCAGAACCCTCAGCAAACTGCTGGTTCTTGAGCGCTTTGGTTTTCCATAGCCTACCAACTCATCCTATCCAAAGAAAACACTGAGCCTAGGGTGATGCTGTTTCTGTTTTTAAGTGTTTCAGGACAAATGAATGAAGAAAGTCAGTGCAGCATGGGGGAAGCAAACTGGATTTGACTGAGTCACTTACTCATGGGTCACTTGTACAGAATGACGGGTGACACTGAAGCAAAGCAGTCCTCCAAAAGCAGTTTGGAGGACTGCTTTCAAGGTGCCGTCCCCGCTCTCCTGTCTCCTGTGTCAGCATGAGTTTTTAATCAAATTGCAAAGAGGAAAAGATGCTTCAAATGAAGGATGACAGGAGAGGCGGGGTTGGAGCTGATATATATCTCCAGTAGCCAGGAGGTAAAGATACAAAGGTGGGAAGATTGCTTGAAGGAAAGTGTCGGCTCAGATTACAAGTTCACTGGAAGACAATTAATGCTTTTGGAAGCACTGGTAAAAAAAAAACTATAGCCTGAGCCTTCGAGAACCGTCTTTTTAAAATGCTGGATCTTCAAAGAGGAAGAGTCTCATCAAAATGTGTGACTGTTAATAAAATGATTTATATTTACATATAACCAGTGCTGACTGGTTGACGAAAACTATTGAATATCATTTTGGTAATTGAAATAAAGCCAAAATAAAAATTTAATTAAATTAAATTACATAAAATTAAATTAAATACAAAACAATACAATTAAATTAAATTAAATGAATAAATGAAAAACTTAAACTTATTTCAGGTAGTCACCTAAGTTCTTTAAGTTTAAGTATAAAATTACTTAAAACAATTAATAAAAAAAATTAAAGCTAAATAGAAAACTAATAAAAATGGCAAATGCTACAACATAATGACTAAAACTTAACCTGAAAACCGAAAGTATAGTAATAAAAACAAAATTATTAAAAATAAAATAATTAAAATATTAATAAATAATATTTTTACTTTTTTTTTTGAAGAGAATATATGAGTGGTTCTTTACAGATGTGTTGTGGATCCTTGTTCATTGGCCTTTCCTAAAATATAAGTTGTTCTTTGAATAAAGGCTGTGTAACAGTAAAATCTGTCCTGGGGCGTCTATGAAACTCTTCAAGGAATGCAAAAAACAACAACAACAACTGTTAATCTTGACAGAAACAAGGAACATTATAAATCATGAAAGTCTTGTCAGGCCTCCAGATTACATGAAGAACATTGCAGTGAGGAGGAGCTAGGGAAGAACAAAGTGTGATTTAATGTGCCGACTGTAATTTGGACTCGCTAAATCTTTTTAGTGTCAGAGTTGCATTTGTAAAAGTAGAAACAGATGGTTCACAAGTATCTTCAAGAATGCATTAAGAGGATTTGGCAACACTTTATTTCGATGGTCCACTTTAGTCATTCTACTAACTATAAGTAACTTTGCAACTACATGTTAACTAGCAGTCATTAGAGTATTAGTAGACTGTCTGCTTAATATCTGCTAACACTTTATTGTGATGCTCCACCAACAGACTTTCCACTGACTGTAAATGACTTTGCAAGTACATGTCAACTTATTCTACTAACCAATTAGTTAACATGTAGTTGCAAAGTTACTTATAGTTAGTGGAATATCTAAAGTGGACCATCGAAATAAAGTAAGTGAAGATTTTCTCTGCTCTTAAAGAGATAGTTCACCTTAAAAATAAAATTTCAAAATCAAACATTCTTCTTTTGTGTTTTCCAGAAGAAAGCGTCATACAGGTTTGGAACGGCGTGATGGTGAGTAAAAAAAATCATTTTCATTTTTGAGTGAAATTTTCTCTTTAATGTGAACGATGCGAAGTCTGCAACAAGCTCTGTACTGTTTCCCATTTTCACCACATCAAAAAATCTTCCAGCAACCACATTTCTGATTTCTGTATCATCCTCCATTGCCATTTTCCTTCTTTGCACTGTTTTTCGACTTTATATGTTTTATTGATTGCCATAAATGCTTTATTTATAGATCCTGTGAGGGTATTTGTTGGGCATGCAGCCTCCTCTCCTCATAAGTAAATATTCACCCATAATCGTTTGATTTAAAGTTCACTGCACAGATGGAGAGTAAGAGGCATTTGTAGTAATCAGTTGTCATTAGAGCGTATGTCTACAGGACATCCCCATCTGCCACATGTTCTCGGACAGCCTCGTTTGTTTGGACACACCATTGCCGTCATTCATAAAATGGTGAGATTGCTCCACACCCAGCAATAGCAGAGGAAATGAGGTATAAAATGAAAACAATCAGTTTTAAAGGAGGGATTAAAGTGGCGTTAACCTTTTATTGTGTCTCTCAGTGGACTTTTTACTCATTTTAAAAGTAAAATTTGCTTTGTCCCAGACCCTCTAACTTATTTCTTTGAAATTATTCTTTGAAAATGATTCATTTGCAGCTTTACTGTAATCATCAGGAAAGTAATGATCACGAATGCAAACAGAGTTCAGTTCTCTCTCAAAAGACAACAGTGTCATTGTTCAGCTGAAGTCAGTTCAGTGTTGACTCAGTTTGGTTTATTAACTGTGTAAAGTTCATCAATTATGAAATGAGTTCAATGCCGCTATAAAGCATCTCTGGAGAAAGCAGTGATGTCATCATCATCCAGCTCAGTTCAGTTCTCATCTAAAATATTATTAGATCAGATCTTTATTCCAGCACTCAGGATTATTGTTTTAACAGAAATGGTTTGAGGGCGTTTCATTTGTCAAGATTTCAAGTAGTAAACCGTGTCAAACTGCGCCGCTGCTGCTGCATGTGTCACGCTGGACGCAGCGATGGAATGGCAGAGGGTCAGAGGTCAAACCATTTGTCTCTCGCTCTTTCACATCTCCGTATGCAAACACAAACGGAGGCCCCGGACCGTGTCTTTGAAGCTGTCCTGGAGTAAACTCTAAAGGAAATGAAGTTATCCTTCCAGGAATCCCTGTTCTCATCTCCAAACTCCCGCTGTTTTCACATCCCCCTCCCTCTCTTCTCCGAGGAAAATGGTGGAGCGTGATTTTTCGGCCGGCTTAGTTTCAAGTCTGTAACCTAGTGTCCACTCTTGCTCGCAACAGCTTGCGATAAGCCCATTAGACAGGCACATTTAGTGATATTGACTCTGGCCAGTGGAGAAAAAGCAGCGGTGAGGAGATGCAAACACGCTCCCCAGGCGCGGGATTAGGCCTGGGACTGATCCTTAAATGAGTTTGGTTAAAGACTCGAAAATTCATTTTGGAAGGGTTAAGAGCCGCTCCATTTGCCAGGTCAACATCATTCAGTGCTAAATAAGGGGTGGGGTGGGGGGGGAAATAAATGCATTTATGCATTTTATCCAAAAGCGACTCAAATTGCATTTCAAGGTACACATTCATATTGTTATCAGTATTTATATACAACTTTCATGGTAAGTTGATTGATTGAAGTTGATTGAACTGCGTGCTCTATTGCTCTATTTCAGTGTTTGTTGTTAAGTTGTGGATATTTTCAGCAAATAATTTGCTTCGAACATTCAGTTAAACAGCATTAAAGAGGGCAACTGTTATCATTCAACTGAACCGTGTATATGCATTTTAAACACATGTTTTTCGTCCATGCATTAAATGCACGTCCCATAATGCTCAACATATCAAGCGTCCTTTAGGGGGGGCCGGACCCCTCAAACCCTGGCTCACACCAGAAGACACAAGACTGGCCCTTCCCAGCCGTTACATTACTATACTTGTGCTTTATTTATAGTGATGCATGTATGCATGGTGCACTTCTTTAAGAACATACAGGAATGGAAATAAATCATAATAATTAAAGGTAGCAAAAAGTACATTTCATGCCCCCCATTTTACCATTACCATAATCATTGTATTTCAGTAATTTTTGGAAAAAAATGATTAATTTATGCATTATACACTTCTTTAAAAAGCATACAGAAAATAAAATAAATATTAAAGTTAAAAAAAAAATCGTTGCATTATTTTAATGTTAATTACTAGTTTCTTATTTTTTATTTTTTTGTATGTTGAAAAATGTTTCTAGTTTAAACACACGCGCACACACACACATACTCTCACCTAAAGGATTATTAGGAACACCATACTAATACTGTGTTTGACCCCCTTTCGCCTTCAGAACTGCCTTAATTCTACGTGGCATTGATTCAACAAGGTGCTGAAAGCATTCTTTAGAAATGTTGGCCCATATTGATAGGATAGCATCTTGCAGTTGATGGAGATTTGTGGGATGCACATCCAGGGCACGAAGCTCCCGTTCCACCACATCCCAAAGATGCTCTATTGGGTTGAGATCTGGTGACTGTGGGGGCCATTTTAGTACAGTGAACTCATTGTCATGTTCAAGAAACCGATTTGAAATGATTCGAGCTTTGTGACATGGTGCATTATCCTGCTGGAAGTAGCCATCAGAGGATGGGTACATGGTGGCCATAAAGGGATGGACATGGTCAGAAACAATGCTCAGGTAGGCCGTGGCATTTAAACGATGCCCAATTGGCACTAAGGGGCCTAAAGTGTGCCAAGAAAACATCCCCCACACCATTACACCACCACCACCACCAGCCTGCACAGTGGTAACAAGGCATGATGGATCCATGTTCTCATTCTGTTTACGCCAAATTCTGACTCTACCATCTGAATGTCTCAACAGAAATCGAGACTCATCAGACCAGGCAACATTTTTCCAGTCTTCAACTGTGCAATTTTGGTGAGCACTTGCAAATTGTAGCCTCTTTTTCCTATTTGTAGTGGAGATGAGTGGTACCCGGTGGGGTCTTCTGCTGTTGTAGCCCATCCGCCTCAAGGTTGTGCGTGTTGTGGCTTCACAAATGCTTTGCTGCATACCTCGGTTGTAACGAGTGGTTATTTCAGTCAAAGTTGCT